GACTAATACACCAATGGGGAAACTATATACAATGTAATTTAAGAAGTAGATTTAAAACAGCTTTAAGAACAGGAAAATGTCATCTTGTGTAAGTAATGTAAAAATGTAATTGGTTGAAGATGATAATAAACTTAACAATCTTAGTGTTGATTAAAAACATTATCATAACTGTGACAAATAAAGCATCAAAATGCGATGGTCATGAGAATGCTTAAAATATGAAATTGGTACAGTATCAAGACATAAGCACATTTTTTATCACAAGCTATAAATTAGTTTGTATTAAATATAAGCGTATGAAATTTCTGAATTTAAAAATGTCCAAGCAATATCTCATAGAAATAAATGCTGGACAAAAATGGCTATGAAGAGATTCACAGGCAGACATGATGATACCAGTGTACACCCAAACAAGCAGATTGACATGGTGATTCCAGTGTATACCCCAAACTTTGTGGGGTATGACTGGAAAAAATGGGGTGAGGGAGGGGGCACTGTTTTGCTTCTCCCTCTGCCGTGTTTTTATTTAGGAGCCCCATCATATTTAATGGAAACTATTCATATCAAATGCACAAAACACTACTTTATGATCAGACCAATATGCTTCAATCACATCTGTTTCACATGGGGATATATTTGTAAAAATCAAATCAAGCTTCGAACCGGAGTCATGAGTAGTCTTACTTACAATTTGTTGACAGTTAAAGCCTTTTTCCATAAATGTTAAAAAGTCTGCATGCCCAGCAAACAAATCAAAATTAAAATCTCCCAAGAATACCAAGTCTTTCTGATCATCAATCAAAGGCTTTATATGCATTTCCACGTGATGTTTGAAATTTTCCAAAGAACAAGATGGATATTTGTAAATAACTATGACTTGTACATCTCTATATTGGTTTAATAGTATGTTTGCCTTAATAAACTCTATGGGACCATTGTTTACCTTTGAGATGCAAGTTGTCTTGTAAATGTCTTTCACATACAGTGCTGTTCCATGATGTGGACGTCTATCAGAACTATCTAAAGTCTCATGGTTAAATATTGCTGTGTATCCCTGAAGTTGATAATTTTCCACATCTGCACTAGTTAATCTTGTCTCTGAGAATCCAACTACATCTGAAGCAAGAATGTTTGGCTCATTTTGAATTTGTGGAAAGTGTTTGTGAAGAGATCTACAATTGTTAAAAGCAATCTTTAAACGATGCAAATCAACCTGGTATATTGGGACATAACAAAGTTGGAGTGGCACCTCTTTTTTCATTCTCTCCATTTCATCTACGACTTGTTCATCCATAGATAATGCCTGCTCATTGAAGTTTAGAATATGCAGATGATCTACTGACCTTACCCGACTAAGTGCTACATAGTGGATGTGGGGAATTTTCCTCACTTTTGTTTGAGACATATCAATTACAATTTCATCAACTGTGCAACCTTGGGCTTTATGAATTGTTTTTCCTGCAGCTGGCCGTAATGGAAATTGGATTCTCTGAAAAGTATTGTAATGCAAAAGAAAAGACCATTGAACTTCAAAAATTGGTGTCCAGTTCTCAGAAATTCCATCATGAAATAAATGTCTGTACTTCCTTCGAGTAGTTTTTCCAATTCCAGAGTCAAAAAATTCCACCCAGACTATGCTTGGTCTTGATATACCTTCCATTCTCCTTTCAATTAATTGCACTTTACATGATGAACCATTTGTCAAACCATCAGATACATCAACATTGACTGAGATATCATATATCATCCCAACAGCAAGAATCAAATTTTGCATCAAATTGGCAGTTTTGCTTACATCATCTGCTTTAAGAAGAGATCTTAGCAGTTTTTCCTTGACTTCTTTTTAATAATCTTTAATAACAGAATCAACTGAATTCACTGTGACCTTTTCTCCTCCAAGATTTTCAATCAACTGATTGTTGTATGCATCTACTTTAGAGTTCTGTGTAAAGAGATGAGGAGCATGATGTGGATAATTGTCACTTGTTTCTGTTATCATGCATCTGTGTATCACATTCATATCTTCTGCTGTCATTGCGTTGTAACGAAGGCGATTCAGAAGTTGAGCGAACTCAATATCATCTTTTTGGCGCATGATTTCATCCAACTCAAAAATAGAAAAATGCTCCTTCCAAAGATTGCTTGCAAGAACTTGGGCATCATGATTTAAATCCTGAAAGATCCAACGATCCATTACAGGCTTAAGTTGGAAAAAATCACCAACAGCAATGATACTTATACCACCAAATGGTTTCTTAATGCCTGTGAGAAGTTGTAGACGACTGTCAATGAGTGCTAATGATCTGTTTCCCACCATTGATATCTCATCAATAATGATTACTCTCAGGTTTTGGTACTTTGTACGAAAAGTGTTCAATTCGTCAGAGTGCAAACTTTGTTGACTTTGATTAATTTTTTGATGGAAAGCAGATGCAATAGTTGCTCCTCCAATGTTGTATGCCGCCTTGCCAGTATAAGCACAAAGAATTATTCTTATGTCATCTGGATTTTCACCCTCTGTGGAACATAGGTATCTGTGCAGAGCTTGATAAAGTGCCCTTATCAAAACAGATTTGCCAACACCAGCACCTCCAGACAAAAATGAATAAATAGGTTCTGTCTTTGTCTTTACCCATTGCAACACATGATTGAAAAATTCCCGCTGTTTTACATTTAGACTTCCTAAAAGATTCAAGTATTCATTGTCTGGTAATCTAACAGAACTTTCTTCAATTATTTGTCTTGTTGATGGAATGCCAAGGTCAGATCCTATATCATATTGTCTCTGTTCAATAGGCCTCTCAGGATTAAACTGAACAAAGTTTTCAGATTCAAGAGATCCTTCATTTTTATCTTCTGCCTCTCTTTGCTGAGCATCTGGTGCCAACTCATCAAAAGCTTCTGAAAAGTCCTCATTTGCCATTTGCAAAGCTGCATCAAGCTGTTCAGCATTGAATTCATATTCCTTGATCTTGTGTGTAAGAAACGACTTCTTCAGATGGAAAGACTTCTCAAATGTGTCCATTCCTGATATTAGATCAGTGGATTCATTTCTCCAAGGCATGAACAACATAAGTTTTTCTCTGTAGTAATTTTCTGGATCAGTTTTGATATTAAATCGGACATATCTAATTACCCTTGGTACTTTCCGTCGTTTAATTTTTATGCCGTTTCTCAAAGTCAAAAGTGTATCACTTTCACTAAAGTCAACATCTGAATTGTCTTCATCATCTGACTGATGGTCCTGATCATCATCATTCACTTCATTTTCAGTGAACTCTTTTTCATCATCTTTAGGGAAGACAACATCTAGCTGTGATACGTAATCAGCTAAGCACCAGTTTTCAAGCTGCTTTGGGCGTTTTGCATACCGTTTGATAACATTGCTACATTCCACGTCTGTAGAATTTGGTGTCAACTTTTCTAATTCAGCATCTGTTTTGATCAGAATTACTCTGTCATCTGATGGACTTGTGTTTATAAATACAACATCTCTCGAAGCTTTTGTCATTGGCATTTGTAACACTAAATATGCTGCTTCTTGAGCTCCAACTTCTACACTGTTGAGAAAATGATTCCCAATGTGACGTACCTGTCTTTTTATGTCAAGATTTCCTTCTCTAGCTTCTTTTGCAGCTCTGTTAAGTAAATCGCTCATCCCTCTTTGTGATTTACTTATATAGGAAACAATATACATTGCACAGGCATATGGGTCCAAAATATATTGAATGTCTATGTTAGCTTTCCAAGCATTAAGAACAACACTGTTGTACGAGTTTACCCTCATATCACATGGACTTCTTTTAAGAAAAACCTTTGGACCTCTCAGTGAACTTCTAATGCATTTAATGTAATCTTCCTCAGATATCTTAAGTACTGTACTCAGGAGTTCCTTGTAGGGCAAATCACATCCATTTTTCATATCATTCAGCTGTTTCTGAATGTCATCATACATCTTCTTGTACTTATCAACATCACAATCTAGTGGCTCCAAAATCAAAGTCTCTTCAAGAGGAGGGAGGGGAAAACAGCTTTGCCTCTCTTTTTGCATGTCTGTGAATGTTTGTGCACTTGTAAGTCAGACAAACCATCCTCTTCATTCTTTTCACATTTCAGGTAATTATCTACATAATTTACAATCTCCTGTTCATTATTTTCATGATATTTTGGTGCATTTTCTATCCAAACAATCATATGAATGTGTGGTGATCCTCTTTGTTGAAATTCAGTTCTGTAGAAGAAGTCTTTTACAATACCAATTGGATGATGATCACTTCTCAACACTGAATTCATAAACAAACGGAATCTATGATCAAAGTACCTAGAGCAAGTGATGGGATCCTTTTGTACTAATTTTGATTTTTCAAACCAAGTCATGTTATTGATTTCTTCATCAGTGTATTCTTTTCCATCATTTAACACTCCAAGTGCTCTGATGAGATCATTCCATCTTGTATCTGCAGCAGACAATGATATAAACCATGTTGGTAGACCTAGCTGTCTGATCATAGCAAACACATCCTTTTTTCTAGTCTCAAGATATGCAGGTGAATTTCGTAACTGCCTGAACACAAAGAAACCTTCATCGTGTCTAACAAGATTATTCACATTTTGAGGATTTTTCATTTCATTTGCTGTTATGGATCTTCCTTTGGTTTTGCATTTCCTAAGAGCCAGGTTGCATTTGTCTGTAACTTGCTTCATTTGTATTTTTTTCAACTTGAAAAACAAATTTGGAACAGACTGGGCAGCACGTCTATCAACACTTCTTAATTCCCATTTAGCAATATCTGCATAGGACACATGCACTTGTCTTTTGTCATCTTGTAATCTTCCCTTTCCACAAAAAATTGTTGGAAATGATAAATACTCAGCTGTCTGGTCTTGGTATAAACTAAGTGGGCGTTGTCCTTCACCTGGAGCAAATGTGTAAATCTGATTCATGTCTCTTGAAGCATAATCTAACAGAGTATCGCAATTACCATCTCTACCAACTCCATCTACTTCACAGAATTCATCATCATCATCAACCTCTCATCATCATCAGTATTTTGGTTGCTTCTTGTCTGTGTTCTCACTAGTTCCTGAACCATTTCACTTGCTGAAGTTGTAATTTCTTGAAACCAGTTTTCATCAACATTGATATTTGCATTCTTGTAAAAGTCACTATTGTTCATAAGCCAGTGCAACGCAATCAGTACTTTTGTTGGTCGTACATTTTCATGATAATCACATTTTTGATATGACAACTTTTTCTTTAATTTGACAGGAACTGTGACATTTTCATCTAATTTTCTTGGCAGGCTATTCACAGTAGGTTGAATATCAACTGGAACATTCACAATGTTTCCTCTTACAGAATATTGCCCACCTCTTGGCAACTCTCTTATTTGCATAAAAGGTATTCTCAGAGATACAAGCCTTTCTTCTAAAGAAAATAAATCTAATTCCATTGGCTTAAGTGGCCACATCATACCATTGAAGACGGACAACTTTGGAATTTTTTTTTGTCTTATTGATGAACAGCAAGTATTGCAAATCCATTCCACATTTTCAACAGACACAGTGCTTGTAAGAAACTTGCTTTTACATTCATCATTTAGTTTGATGTTTTCCACTTTAGAAACACTTTCTTTGAACCATGTTTGCTGACAACATGAGCATACAAAAATTGGACCATGTTTTATCTGTTCATGAAAATTTTGGATGCAATCCTCTATATCTATTCCAAATTTTTTCCGTCTCTGTTGTTCATCTACTTTTTCACAATATTCTTTATCTGCTCTTTGCCTCTGTTTCTGTTCCCTATTAAGCAATCTCTCATTTTCTCTAAATGAAATGTTGCTTCGTTTAGCTTGCTTTTTTAACCTTTCCCTTTCAAGAACAATTGGGTTTTCTCTGCATTTTCTTTTTGAAATTCTACTGCCCTCTTTTTCTTTTTCTTGCACTTTAACATTCTGACGTTTTAACTTTCTACCTGCAGTATTCATTTCCCTTTCTTTCTCTTTAATTTCAGCATCTTGTCTCTTGGACTTTCTTGCAAGCTTATCCATTTCCCTTTCTTTCTGTTTAATTTCAGCATCTTGTCGCTTTGACTTTCTTGCAAGCTTATCCATCTGCCTTTCTTTCTCTTTAATTTCAGCATCTTGTCGCTTCAACTTTCTACCAGCTGTATTCATTTTTCTTTCTTTCTCTTTAATATCAGTATCTTGTCGCTTTAACTTTCTTCCAGCTGTATTCATTTTCTTTTCTTTCTCTTTAATTTCAGCATCTTGTCGCTTTAACTGTCTTCCAGTGGTATTCATTTTCCTTTCTTTCTCTTTAATTTCAGCATCTTGTCGCTTCAACTTTCTACCAGCGGTATTCATTTTTCTTTCTTTCTCTTTAATTTGAGTATCTTGTCGCTTTGACTTTCTTGCAAACTTATCCATTTCCCTTTCTTTCTCTTTAATTTCAGCATCTTGTCGCTTTAACTTTCTACCTGCAGTATTCATTTTCCTTTCTTTCTCTTTAATTTCAGTATCTTGTCGCTTTGACTTTCTTGCAAACTTATCCATTTCCCTTTCTTTCTCTTTAATTTCAGCATCTTGTCTTTTTAACTTTCTTGCAGCTGCATCTCTTTCCTTTTCTTTCTGTCTTATTTCAGCATTTTGCCTTTTTAATTTCCTTGCAAATGTTGCAGTTTCAGTTTCTCTGCTTTTTATATCATCATTTTGTCTTCTCAACTTTTTTGCATGCGTTTCTTTGTTTCTTTCTACTTGCTTAAACTGTACATTTTGTCTTTTTCTCCTCATGTACTCTCTCATATACCTTTTTCTGTATGGGTTTTGATCTGGATTTGTAACAGATGAGAGATGATCATCCATTTTGTAAAATTTTTTCTGCAATGGACTTTTCTCTGGAAAACTATGATGCAAAGTTTTAATTGAGATTGGTAAGATTTCAAACTGCATTGCAAAGTCTATATGCATACTGTTATACATACTGTACAGATATGATACCAAATCATCAATACCCGTGCTTTGTACTAGTACTGATTTACCATCACAGGAAGACATGCCAGCACTGTCATGTGAATGAGAGTCAAAAAAGTAATATTCCTTGTCTGACACTTTGTATACACCAGAACAAATTGCCCCTATCATAATCAGCAAATATCTAGAAACCTGGAAAGCCTCTTCTAAAGCTTGATGCAATGATTTCACTTGACTAATTTGTTCTTCAGAGACAAGTAATCCCCACATGGTTTCAAATTTCTCGATGACATGATGATTTTCTCCTAAAGTTAAGTTACTTGGCAACTCATCCAATTTAAGTAGCTTGTTTAGAAACATTTGTCTTTGCTGCAAATTCTTGACCAACATAACATAAACCTGATCCCCTGCTATTAAAGTGCTATCAATAAATTCCGTTGAGAATGAAAATCCTTCATAACTTTTTATCAGTATAGTAAGAGCATTGCACGTACACTGACTTCCTCTAGAAAATGATGAAAACCTTGCATCCCCTTGATGAAATGACCCAAATACAAATTTTGTATTGCATACCTGGTTGATTGCATGACTAAGTGACTTGCTTTCTTCAGCCATTACATCTTGATTTTGCAGAGCTGTTTTAGTGATTGAGGCATTGTTTGTCAATTTTTGTTCAATATTGTTTTGCAAATTTTTTTCATGAGATTCATTGAGCAGATTTGTTTCACATAGTTCATTGAGCAGATTCATATCACAAAGTTCATTGAGCAGATTCATTTCACAAGTTTTTTGGTTTTCCTGTTTTTTTTGTAACCTGAGGGCAGGCTCCTCAGGGTCAACATTGGTTTTACTGTTTTTCACGAGGCCAGTCTCCTCAGTCATTTTAATGTCATACATTGTTTTACTGTTTTTTTAAGAGGCCAGTCTCCTCAGTCAAGTCCAGGTCAGAAAGTGTTTTACTGTTTTTCATGAGGCCAGTCTCCTCAGTCTTGTCAGTCCGTATCTCTTTCCTGGCACCACTAATCCTCCAGTACTTCCTCCTAGGCATCTACAAAGGACAAAGTTGATAATGAATAGAGATACTACAGATGTACAGTCAAGCCTTGTTAATATGGAAACTTAATTATTATAATCTGGTTTTAATAAGCATTAGGAATACCAAATTTTACCCCAAATTACATGTACTTGTAGATATAAACATTCTGTTCCCAACACATCCCTCATCAAGAAGATGATGTATAATCATAATTACCAAGGCTCAACTGTACACCCTTCTATACATTAGAAGAGGGAGGAAAGAAAGGGGAATAGAATTTTTTCCATCAAGTTTTGTATAATTTCAAAATTTCCAACCCATTATTTAAAGTTTAGTACATTTAATTTTCCAACCCATAATTAAAATGAACAATCAGGTAAATAGAGTTATAAGTTGACATATCATCAACATAGGCCTAATTAACATGTTATAGAAAAGACAAATGATAGGCAGTATATTGTGTAAATGAAACCAAAATAGAACAGGAAATTGTCAATTAAAACCAAATTTTTGATACTTGCTAGTCTCCGGGTGAGGTGTCTAAATACAATATTGCTCAGAGAATTGCTATCTAATTTGTCTTTTAAAGAAATTGGCACAACATTATGTACCACTTGATGCCCTATAAGAAAAACCGAAACGTTCCAATCAAATGAAATTTACCATTTTAATTCACATGACATCACTATATAATTGTTGCCATGACTGCTGACCTTGACTAAATTAATGTATAGGTTTAACATCTTATATACATAAGGATCAACTGTCTTAATGAATATTATATTTAAAGTGTTGTGTTTTGCATGCACTATGCCTAAGTAGTAGTCAGGGTTTGACACATGGTGCATGAGACAGAGGCATGGTGCACGAGAGAGAGACAAGGTGCACAAGACTCATAATTAGCCATACGCCATTTTCGATATTATTATCTGCAATATATCAACACCAGGGTATACTCTTGCGATTCGTCAAACATGACTGTTTTATTGTCACGGGTATCAGCATGGAATGACGACCCGTGTTCGTGCTGGTTATCTTGCATTACCTTTGTTTTCATTTTATTGCAGTTATGTGTCTGTGTTTGTTTGTATACTGCACTGACCTGTTCAACTATAACTGTAAGTTTCTTTGATTTCTTACTTTCCTGAATTAGACTAAGTATTACGTTATTATTGTCGCTACCTAGTGGTATATATCATATGTCCATCTACACTGTTGTCAACAGATTACAATGAACAGTGACAAAGTCCTGCACTTTATTAGGGGTCTGCAGGAATTAACTAGATATCAACGAGATGGTGGCCATCTCAAAGGGCCCCGTTTTTAGCAATGAACATGAAAATGAAAGGTAGCTGAAAACGGTTAATTTTGAAGGTGTTTGAGATTAAAGGGGACAAAAAGTAACTACTACCTGAAAAATAATACATTTAAAAAAAACTTTAAGAAATGTATCCTCTATGAAAATTGTTGCATATCCTCCATCATAATATAGAATGAAAATCACATACCCAGTCAATTTGTTTGAGGCCGAGTGGAATTACGCACCCAACAAAGATTTTAAACAGAGAGGCTATTTTTCATATAATTCTGTTGTGACCTTGACCTTTGATGTAGAAACATTGTTCAAGGTCACTGCACACCGGTTACCCAAAGGCACTCTGTTGGTGAAGTATGAGCCAGATTGGGCCAAAGGGAGGGAAAATATGCTCCGGTCAAGGATTTTTTATATAATTCTGCTCTGACCTTGACTTTGACGTAGAAACATGGTTCAAGGTCACTGCACACCGCTTACCCTAAGGCACTCTGTGGATGAAATATGAGCCAATTTGGGCCAAGGAGAGAGAACAGATGCTCCGGATAAGAGATCTCGGACGGACAGACAGACAGCTGGAAGGACAGACAGACTGATCACTATAGGACCCCCCTCCCCCCCCCCCCCCCCCCCGAGAGGGGCCTTAATAATAGCGATTCTCTGAACAAAAATATCAGACATGTTCCTTTTAAGAATGGTGTTCAGCTTTAATCAGATATCATTAAAATAGTACTCTCCCCAACACCTAGTATCCATTGGATCTATTACATTACCAACTAAACTCAAAATGCAAATGTTCCTTTAGGTATAGAGACATGCACAGATAAAGAACAAGTTGACATCAGATTTGTACGAAAATGCCTAAACAAAGAGTGTGCTGAAATTTCTAGTATCTGCGACTAACAATTACTGAGAAAACTGTTACAAAAATTTAGTACCAACAGACACACAAGGGTAAAACAGTATACCCCTCCTTCGGAATGGGCGTCTAAATTTATCATTTCTGCACAATGGAAAATGTATTCAACAATTCAATGCAATTGATTTTCTTTCCAATTAAATTATTGCTGTAACCATGGGATGTTTGATCACTGCAAGTAATTTTTTTTTCATAGCAAAAAATATTTCACGTCAATTAGATTACAGTCTTTAACAGCATTAGAGTACCGTATGGATATACATGTATTATATAATTTAAACAGTTCTTTATAAAAAAGCGGAAAATAAAATCAAACCTTTGGCATACACTTTCCCATCAAGATAATTTGTTGTTACAAAACAGGGATTAATCTAGGGCATATTTACTACCAATATTTGGGTTTTCTCACCACATGAACATCCCATTTTCCCCTTTAAGCTTTTTAATGAGTAAAAATTTCCCCTTATAATAATGAAAAGCTTAAATATTTCTTTTCTTTATAAAAACTGGGGGGAAAAAGTAAAAATCAACATGATTATCAGAAAGTGTGAAATAAGGTATTACTTTGCTATTTTATGCACATTAAATGGTCAAAAAGATGCCAAAGTTCAATTGCCCCCCCCCCCCTCACCGGGCGGTAGATAGACATCTCGGCCCAATAACCCCTCGGCCCAAAATTATTAATATGTCGGCCCATACACACCTCGGCCCAAGCAAACTTGTGATAGAAAAAGTTAAATCAATGTCTGAATTGGTGGTAATAATAATCAAAATCTAACTTATTCTTTCAGACAATGATATTTTAAAAATCATATAAGGCGGGGGGGGGGGGGTGTTCTATGAAAAATGATTTGTTTATTTTTGAAACTAAATAAATTCTTTTTAGTCCTTAAATTGCATCTCTGTCATGGGGAAATGTGCAATATATATGGTAAGTAATACCATTTCAACACAGTAGGAATTTTTTCATACCATTTTACATTTAAAATATATTCATAATCTAAAATCCAAATAAATGTTGTATCTTATGGTATCACTTTGCATTGTTCCTCTGAGGATTGGAAACATATGGCATGGGTCTATAATCTGTGAAAAGGAATGGACTACATGTAACGTTTTTTTTGTTGTTTTTTTTTAAATTTTGACATGGAATGAATTTTCTTAATGTACAATGTGGTTGAAAGCATAACTTACAAATGTATAACCTTTGTGAACGTTTCCATATGAAATGACCGAGACAATGTTCAATGGAAGTTAAATGAGCAGACCCTAAACCTTTCATTGGGCCAAGATATCATGGCCCGGGGGTGTCACCCTGCACCAGCTGGACTGGTCCCCAGACCCCAGCCGATTATCCCAATTTCTCCAGAAAGGGTAATTTCCCCAAAACCTACCTGGTAAATTAATCCCTGCGAATATAACATTATAATCAGGCAACAAAACAACACAACACATTCACTTAATCAGTCTTTTTATTTTTAATTTAGACAGGCCCCTGGATCATGATTCAAGACACCTCTTTGGTTTAAATCAAAATTTTTCAATGTTGTGGAGGCCAAAGAGATTAAAATTAAATTATGTTTTAGTATAAATCCATACAAGTGTTATTTGCAAGTTTTTAGATTAATAAATTACATAGTTATTAGTTAATAAACATTCTACAAGCTGATGAAAATTATACTTAAGTCTACATCTATTTCATGATCCTGGGGCTTGAAGACTACGGTATGTTACTTCAAATAATATGTACTGCCTGCATTACTACATTGCTCATATCATGCTTCTCTTTTTCCTTGCATCTACTTTTTTCCCTCAACCTAAGCATTTCGATTATTATTCATCAATAAAAATATTAATCTTGTATTCTAAATTGTTTTGCCGTATCCTAGACATCGTCCTATATATCTAGACGGCGATACTGATTGCAGAATAATTGTTGAATTCATAATAATTTGCAAAATGGAAAAAGCTTCAAACAGTTTACCGTACGCAAATGAACACATCGCAACTCATTGAATCGCTTCGATGTTTCATGCATGTTTTAAAATATTACCTCTACTAATGAACGAAAACAAACCAGGTATCTTAATTAGAATTAAATCTGGATATGTCTTTGATAACTGTCTTTCGCCCAACGCAACGTGGCCATAAACAAAGAGCCTCGTTCTGATTTCGAATGTTGTAATATTCGGAATGTCGAGCCCGATCGGAAATCAAAAGAAAAAAAACAGCGTCCTACCCACGGCCACAGGTCTCATAATTTAAATAAATTAGAATTTAAACTTTCCAAGGATGCTTCCACATAAGTTTAAGATTTTCTGGCCCATTGGCTTTTGAGAAAAAGATTG